AAGGAGAAATACTATTTCTCTGTATTTATTCAGCCTTAAAATTTGAGGGCCTAAAATGATTGCCAGCCTAAATGCAGCTGTCCTCCAAACCTGTGTTCTCTACTTTTCCTGAATCATAGTCTTCAACCAATTTAGGGGTGCTAGCTCAGGGTTTTTTGGCATGCTCAGTAATTCTACAGTTTAAAAGAAAATTTAGGAATTCTGCTACTTTAGCTTGAAATGTTAGTGTTGATGGTTATTGCGATACCTTTATTCAGTCCTGGTTTTATAAGTTAAAGTGAATTTAATATGTAGATTTGACCCCTGTCTTCAGCTTTACAGGCCTGAAATCAGTACTATTTCCCCAAGAAAATCCACTACCCTGTTGCAAATGCTATTAAGATTTCTAGTTGTTGGGAATAAAGCTGAAGAATTTCATTTCATGCAAATGCAATCCATAGTGCTGCATTATGTATGACACCTTTAATACAAGAATAGAAACATCCCTAGAAGACAAGGTAGGGTATTCAGACTTATGGTCACAAACCACAGCTACCACAGACTCTAAATTGTTTGAAACTTAGGAAAAAGTCCTCTGAATGCAAAATGATGTATGAATATCTTCAGATAATGAAGAAACTTGAAAATATTCTGATAATTAATTTGTTTTAGCAAAAGAAAGTAAAAAGCAGTCATGGTGATTGGTTGAAAGTGAGTTCATGTTGGTTAATCTTGTTACCTGGCCTGAGAAAGTCTGTCAGATTAAGGAAGAAACTTTTAACTGTGCTTTTTTTTTTAACGTTTAAAAATCCAAAACTTACTTAAAACTCAGTTGCCACTAATATAGACTCGAAGGTAATGATAGGAATCGTTCTGTGCTTAGAAATACATTTATTTTCCAACCTGATCCCACTATACACACAACACACACACAACACCAATAGAACTCAGTCATCAGGACACTTTTCACACCTTGCTCTTAAGTTATTAGCTCAGTTCACCCTACTGCTTGGGAAGGAGAGGAAGAAGAGCCGAAAATAGAGTTTACAATGATTTGTGGGATCATATGCCAGCCCTTCTCTCAGACATTAACCCAGTAAAAAAAGGCCAACAGCATTTCTTGATGGAGCAGATGCCCTGACTTTGACCCTTGCCATCAACTTTCAAAATTATTTTGTTTGCTATAGCCACATGGGACTCATGTTAATATTTTTATTGTAGACAGAAACCTGAAAAGGTTCCTCTTGAGTGACCCATAATTTCCTATATTCATTTTAACAGAGTTGATTTGAAATTAATTGTGTAGGAGTATACATCATATCTCCTGTGGCTACTTATTTTATTTGAGAGTACATTAATTTTGTATGTCACCACAGTTATTGTAGTCTATATGTACAGTGTTCATATGCATCTATTCTGGATTTTTAAAGAGTTTCATAGGTTATAGTCTGCCAGACCAAACTGAATTCCAAACTCTCTGTTTATAATATTGTGCAATTATCAAAGCTGGGATTTATTATCACTGCTAGTTACTGCTGTCAATTTGTTTTGGCTCAGCTCTGGTTCTATTTGTGTTTACTGTAATGTAGTGAATATATTGGATTGGGTTGTTAGTTTAATAAGCTCTCTGGAGAACAGTTTCATGGTGATGCATGTTGAGATATGTATGCTAGGTAGCCTTAAAGTTTTTTGCACACTTGCCAAACCTGCATTAGGAATTCATTCATTAGGAGTTTTAGAAAGGATAACTGTCACCCTACTGATGAGGTAAAGTTTGCATTTGTAAACATGGGGGTGTTAATTCATGAGTCCCAGACAAATTTCTTTGAGGGTTTTGATTTGACCTATTTCTCCCTTCTCATAATTTTAATGAATAAACTATTTTATGTTCTTTTAAAAAAGTATTCTGGTGGTTAAGTCGTTACTGACTCTTGTGCTCTGTGCAGCTCACTGTGTTGTGGGAACTCAGTGATCTTGGCCAGATATTGAGCTGAGAGCTAAAGAAATTGTTATCAGAGACTGGAACTAATTGGGTTGTTATTATTTACATTGTGCTCTGCTGGTCTAAAAATGCACACTAATCTCTTTCTTTGCCCACTCCAACCTATTGCATCAAAATGTCCAGAGTCAAAGTCTGGGAAATCTGTACTTTAAAAATGCTCCCATGAACTTTCTGGATTCCAAATATGTTCTAATATTTTTATGTGAT